TTATATTTATCAATGACGGTACAAAAATTAAATGAAACAAAGTTAAATATACAGTCATTTGTTAGCTTTTTTTTCATAATGTTTTCATAATGTTTTTGTTCTACAAATATTTTTTTTAATTTGATTTGATTTAAATCAATAAGTCAGGCTCCATCAACCTACGACAATTAAATATCTTTAAATATATTTAACTAAATACTCGTATAATATCATTGGTTAAAAATTTAAATTTTAACACCTTCAATCTCAAAACTCGTGAATTTATGACAAAGACATAAAAGGGACCCTGTACATCGCCGATAAAATTAATGTACTTAATGCACAAGCTGTGTCTGAAGTTAAACTTCATAATTTCTAATTTCCACTGCGGTTTTTGCTACCTCGTTCCGAGGTCCAGAGCTCTGTTCAAAAAACTTTCACGGGTAAAAAATAACAAGGATTTTGATAAATTATTAGGTGCAACCTTTCGATTTCATTAATTATCCGGCCAATGCCACACGGGAAACGCATATTGCGATAATAATATCGATCCCGCGCTTATAAATAACCCAATTTGGTGTAGATTGTGTGTGCCGGATGAAAATTCTAGCAGATCGAACATATGGGGTACGGCGGAGTCATCATATCGGTTCTTAGAGTGATTGATAGTCATTGAAAGCTACTAATCTTTTCCTTGGAGCTCTTGCTACGGGTAGAACAGCTTCCGTGTAATATTATATGAATATAATGGGATTTTTAAAATGTTATGTGCCCACGGATAGAATACTGGGTTATTCTACGGATTCTACAGATGGGTAGTCTCCAGTGTGTCAACTCGATCTCCTGGGTGGCCAAAAGAAATGCCGAAGGGTAGATTCAACTCTCTATCGAAGACTATGCTATTTGGTGTTCTTCTAGTAGTCTCATGGACTGCTGAGCTAATAAGAAACAAGGTACGTGAAGGTCCCAGTCGGTTTGATATTCATTCACATTCATTCGTAGGGCCCGATTAAGTCTTTCCGCCATGCCGTCGTATTATGGATCATATCCATCAACCGGGAAAGATTTTCATCAAAAACAAATAACAACATCGAGTAGCTAGTTACATTTGTGATTTCTCATACAACTACTACTTAAAGTAAAAAATAAAGAAGGTCCACGATGAGCATTTTCCATTTCATAGGGTTTATCTTCAAATATGCGGTAATGTTAAAATAATTTTTTATAAAAACTAAAGAGAAACCACAAAATGAAAATAAATAGCAAATATTTAGTGTTAATATTCTTTGTCAACGATTTATTTCTGAATACAAAGGGTTTGTCGTTATGCCTTAACTTGGCCTTCTACCAATTATCGTTAATTATTCTTCCCCTATTTATTCGCATTTGATTTTTCCATTAAAGCGCATTATTTCGCAATATTACACATGTTGAATGGTTATATTCAAGTTGTATATAAGCCGCATGCGACTCAAAAGTCTTTCAGTGGTGGATTCTATTTTTGTATATTTTTGAGCCTCAATTATTATTATTATAAGTCAGTTTGGAAATTTCTCTGTAGCAAAACGTAACACATCGAATTTTAACTTTCGAATCCGTTTTGGGGGAACGAAACTAATGAGATTATTGAAAAGTCGGTTCATAATCTCATCAATTTCGTTTACCAGAGTCCACATATTGTTTTCTGACGAATCTACATTTTGTTTAAACGGGCAGGTAAACCGACATAAATGGCATACCAAAATCCACATTGGATGGAGGAAGTTGACATCCAACGGGCACACAAAGCAAATTTTTGGTGTGGCATTATTGGTGGACACATCATGCCCTATTTTATAAACGAAAATTTAATCTCTGAACGACATTTATTACATTTGCAAGAACACATTATTCCAGAGCTTAAACGATTATTCCCGAACAATAACAATCCCAATTTACCAGCAGAACAAATATGGTTTCAACGTTATGGGGTTCCTCCACATTTTGAACGTGTGGTACGGGCAGCTAGATGAAATGGTACGGGCAGCTAGATGAAACTTTTCCCGATAAATGGATTGGAGGCAGAGGACAATTGAATGGCCGGCTAGGTTTCCCGATATGACCCCACTTGACTTTTTTCTGTGGGGTCACATAAAAATGTAGTCTACAAAAATAGGCCGCAAAATATCGAAGAGTTGCAGGAAAGGATAAGGCGTGAAATTTCCACTATTCCTCCCAACATTCATCTTTTAGATTCACTACAAAATTTTGTTCAGCGAATTCATTACCGTCGGGAGCTAAATGGTGAACACTTTGAGCACCTTATAAAATAGAATTCCAAAGAAAATATTCGTTGTTTATTAAAACTTGTCTTTCTATCTTTTTTATTTTGGAATAATTGTTGTTTTCATAAAATTTTAAAAATCCAGGACATTCACTAAAAAAAATAAATTTTTTCGTTTCATACATTTTTATCAACCCTGAACTATTATATGCTTTTTTATTTTCTTTAAAAAACTAATAATAAAATTAAATCATATCCATATTCTTCACCTTGTGTTATTTTCAAAATAAAAATCCATAATTTAGGGCCCTTTTTTTATATACTTAAAAAGTAAAAAGTTACTTTCAAAGTTCGATATCTCGAAAACGGTTAAGTTTAGGTACATGACGTGCTATATGAATTTTTTTTTAATTTCGAGAAGAGTTGAAATATGGAATAATATACAGAGTGTTCCATTAAAGAAAAAGCAACTTTGTTTCGTCAGGACTTTTTGACTGATCATGTATTATTAGAGGCCCCTAAGGGATCGATTTTTTTAATAACTGTTAAAATACTTTGTGTAATTTAACTATTTTTTAATACGATGGATAACAGATCAGATAAAACTCCTTAAAAATTGAAAAAAATAATTTGGCTTATTTGGTCTGCCAGGGACGGACTAGCTGCAGAACAATAATGTCATTTTTTTACACCCTTTACGATACAGATACAAAAATAATATTTTTAGATAACGTGAACCTTAAACTAAAAAAATACACTCTTGATTGATATCGACAAAATGAACTGATTTCAAGAAAAAAACTATTTTTGTTTAATATGATTTTTATTGCATTCGTAAAGAAAGAGAAATAAACCGATGTAATTTGTATTATTTCTGTGCCTATCTAAAAAATGTCACTTTTATTTACACTTGTTTTTCCCATTGATTTTTGTTACTATGGTTGCTTTTTTGATACTTAACGTTTTAAATAAAAATAAAAGATAAGAAAACTTTTGAAAGAGTGGATCTGCGTTTATGATAGACTGATAAAAATTCCAATCTATTTGTTACATTACATGCATTAGCGTACTTTTTGAGTAGGTAATATATAAAATTAAAATTGCGAAAATCAAATCAATCGCAGTGAGGTTGCTGAAGAAGATATCCTAAATGCCGTAGAAGCAAATCCTTCAAAAAGTGTCCGGAAATTGGCTGCCCAAAATCCATGGTTCTTAGAATCCTTAAAAAGCAGCAACTGCATCCTTATCACCTACAGTCCATGCACTTCTTCCTGTAGACTTTCCGCAAGGGATGGAATTTTCAAACTGGCTTTTAGATAGGTACAGAAACAACGCAAATTTCAACGGTTCAATTCTCTTTACGGACGAAGCTGGATTTTGTAAAAATGCAATCATAAACTCCCATAATTTGCATTTATGGGCAGGAGAAAAATCCAGATGCTTCTGTTGTGACGCATCATCAGCACCAATTTGAATAAGGGCCGGAATCATGTGGCAACGTTTCATTGGACCATTTGTATTGCCTAGAAGGTTAACTGGAGAACTTTATTTGGAATTTCTCCAAGACAACTTGCCAGAACTTTTAGACGACCTACCTCTAGCAATACGACATAGTATGTGATTCATGCATGAAGAAGCACCACCCCATTTTAGTCTGGCATTTCTAAAATCGTTGGACAGGAAGAGGAGGACCAGTGGCTTAGCTCCTCGATCACCAGATTTTTTTATGAGGACATTTAAGAACTTTAGTCTATGCCAATCCAATCGATACTAGGGAAAACTTATTAGAAAGGATTAATTTTCATTATCGCGAAATAAGGACTAATTGAAACATTGTGGAGGATTCAACAGTCTGTAATTCGTAGAGCTTGAATTAGAAGGAGCTCAAGTTGAACCGACATACAAAATTATGTAATAAAAATCATATTAAACAAAAATAGTTTTTTCTCGAAAACAGTTCATTTTATCAATATCAACCAAGAGTGCCTTTTTTCTAGTTTAAGGTTCAAGATATCTAAAAATATTATTTGGCAAACCAAATAAGCGAAATTGTTTTCATGGGTCAATTTTGAAGGAGTCTTATCTGTTGTCCATCGTTTTAAAAATTAATTAAATTACACAAAGTATTTTAAATGTTATTAAAAAAAAAATCGATTTTCAGGGGCATCCTTTAGCGGCCCGTATCTTCGTAGGGGAAAATTTTTTATAAGAACTTGTCATGTTATTTTAACGTCCACTGTATAAATCCGAGAGATTGCCTACATATTCTGGGACACTCTGTATATCTCATTTTATAATTTTGTCCCGTAATTGGAAAAATCTGTTGGGCAATGAATGGAATTGTTTTTATTATTAAAGCTCCATTAAACAGAAACCCAAATTTCCTCCACAGATTTTAATATTGCATGATGTAGCAATGAACCCAACTCATAGGTCGGTTTGAGAAAAACCTGAAAGGCAAACCGAAGAACTTAAGGTGACGACTTTTGCATCCCTTGCTTCCTATCAGCAACCCGGCAAAATTGACGAGATTAAATTAAAACGCAGCTGATAACTGCACCTTATCAATTTCATTAACCACGGTGCCAACGGCACACGGGAAACGCATGGCCCGATAGCGCTATCGATCTACCGGGCATAAATAACCGCTTTTTTTGTGCGATGCCGTACGTTTGCACCGCTGAAAATACCACCGCGGCACATGGCAGTCGTCATAGCTGCCGCCGGGATGATTGACGGACATGAGAAAGCGACTAACCTGTGACACTCAGCAGCGACATCATGCGGCGGACGGCGACCGGTTACTCGCACTAAGATATCCTGATTAGTTTAAGCACACACTGACACCGATCCTCCGCAGGAAGAAGGCCTTGGATGCTGCACACGAGCCTTTCGACGGGTCATAGTCGGCGGCACGGTGTTTTCGCACCACTTCGTCACCTGGCACTGGCGGTCGCCTACGAGGTACTGCTGGGGGCCCGTGCCGGCGCCATTACGCGATGGCGATAAGGACACGGCACGGCGGCGCGCGAAACGCCGCCGCTCAGGGGCGGCGTGGCGGCTAGTTTGAATCTCCTCCGCGGACGGTACACCGGAAGATACGGTCCGGGCGGGGCGCTCTGCTCGGATATTTTGGCTGCTGTTGATGGAATATTTGCAAGGACAACGAAAAAATCATGTTGCCGTAAGTAGATGCGTTCTGCTGAAACGTGTTTGTTACCGCAACAAAAAGAATGTCGTTTAGAATTATATTTTGTTCAACTGTCGATCTGTCTCAAGTGATTTACTCTCCTCGGATACTTCCTTGGAATTTATTCCATTGGGAGCAGTGAGCTCTTATTTGTAGGAAATTGAGATTCACTTAGTGCAAGTGAGGCTTAACTTAAAATTTATCCGAATAAACCGGAATTGGTCTCAATGTGCATGTGTAAGGCTGGTCCATTTTCGATGGGAATTCAGGGTATTTCAGAAACTACTAAAGATATGATAAATCTGACACCACGTTCTCGAGCTCGATTTTCATGGCAAACTCGACTGTCAGATCGGAAATTTGCTATCTTCATTTGTTTCTGAGTTACAGGGCGTTTCTCGTTATTGTTACACTTTTTAACATGTCTGTATCTCAACTGTTAAATAAGTTAGAGTTAAAGTGAAAACTGCTCAAGACTAATTCTTTGGCGTAGAATTGAATGCCGGTATTAGATTTTTAGTAGGTCTTAAGATTTCGGAGTTATAACCCAGTTATATTTTTTTAAATGGAAATCGTAGCTGACCATGGCCTAAAAAAAAATAGAAATTTTTTTCCGCTTTTCAGCAATATATCACATGCTATAGTTATTTTTACAAATACGGGAGATACGGGGTGTTTTATATATAAATTATATTTTTTTCCTTTTCAATATGACCGGCTATGAAAATACAGATAAAACTATAATTCTTACTTTTACAAAAGTCATATCTGTTGTAAAAATATGACATTTATTTTAAATGCACAACATATACTCGTGTGATAATATAATACTAACGAAATTTTAGGAGATAGGTGGATAGGAACGAACGGACCGATCAGATGGCCAGCTAGGTTACCTGATTTGAGTCCGTTGGACTTTTTCCTTTGAGGTTTTCTAAGAGACAATATATTTAAAATTCCTTTTAATAATATTTCAAATACTTATACATTTAATGAATGCTACCCGAAGCGTTGCCAGAAGATGCGTGAAATGTGTGACAGTTGAGGGACGGCAATTTGAACATTTAGCTATCATTTTTGAAAGTTTTTATTGATGTAGGTACTTACTATTGTTTAATTTACGTTTAATATTGTAACTTCAGTTGAAGTGAAATAAAAATTTGAAAACTGTCTTTTCTTATCTGTAATATATATTTTAAATAAACGTCATATTTTTACAACAGATATAAGTTTTGTAAAAGTAAGAATTATAGTTTTTATGTATTTTCATAGCCCCCCGTATCTTCTGTGTTTGGAAAAATAACTATAGCATGTGGTATATTTCTGAGAAGCAAAAAAAATCTCAATTTTTTTAGGTCATAACCAGCTACGATTTCCATTTAAAAAATTATAACTTTGGGTCATAACTCCGGAATCTTAAGACCTACCAAAAATCTAATACCGGCATTCAATTCTACGCCAAAGAATTAGTCTTGAGTAGTTTTCACTTTAACTCTAACTTATTTAACAGCTGAGATACAGACATGTTCAAAAGTGTCACAATAACGAGAAACGCCCTGTAACTCAGAAACAAATGAAGATAGCAAATTTCCGATCTGACAGTCGAGTTTTCGATGAAAATCGAGCTCGAGAACGTGATGTCAGATTTATCATATCTTTAGTAATTTCTGAAATACCCTGAATTCCCATCGAAAATGGACCAACCTGTATAGGATGGTTGATTTTCGATAGTTTTATATGGTACAGCCAAAACGGTGATAAATACAAAAAATTTGATATTGATGTCCCGTCCTCTTCTTTTGAAATTACTTCGCTGGTACCTACCAAAAGATCTTGGCCAACTTGATTAGTTTTAGATATACATGGCTTTTTTGAAAAATCGCCCATTTACATTAACCTCTCTATCTCCGTTGTAATTAAATTTAGAAGAAAAAAAGTTTGAACATTATTTGTTCTATTTTTTATGAGGAAGCCATTAGCGTACTCAGATTTTTTACAAATAGCACCGTTTTTCCGATATTACATAAACAGGTATTTTAAAATAGAACACTCTGTATTTGGCTATCCCGTTGAATAGCATTTTTTTACCTTTTCAGCCATGTATAATAATAGATACTTTTTATTTGCCTAAATGAAGAAAAATATAAAAAATGTATATTTTTCCAGTTGGCCATGAGATTTATTCGTCTCTTATTGCGTTTTCTATTATTACTTTTATATTTGGCACCTAACTTAGACTAAAAAATTATAAGAAAAAATAAATTACAATATCCATTTACATTTAATTCACGACAACGTTTGGCAATGGAGCGGGTTGCATTGTAAATATGGATATTTGACACCCGTTGAATATAATTTTTAAAATCTAAAAGCTCTATACTTATAAATTTTGTCTTTAAGATCCCCCAAAAATAAAAGTCTATAGGGGTTAGGTCTGGTGACCTAGGCGGCCACTTGTTAGGCCGGTACGTACCGATCCAATTGTCTCCGAAATTTTGATTTAATAATTCTCTCACTATGTGGGAATTATGTAGAGGTGCACCATCATGCTAAAAGAACATGTGATATCGTTGAACTAGTGGCATATGGCCAAGCGGTTCAATAATATTTTAATAATATAATATCTCTGAGCGTTGAGGTTTTTATGGTACATTTCGTAAGCTAACTTCTATTGTGGAAGAGAGCTACCCATACATGAAAACCAAACCGCCCTAGTTGAATTCTAGCTACAGTTTGGTCAGGAATATATCGGTTGAATATACTTTCACTGCTTATAAAAGCTCGTCAGTCCAAATAACATTTTGAAAAAAATTTAGGATCTACATGAGTTTGCTGCAAAAACCATTGGCAGAAAATTACGCGTTTCTCTTTACCTCTTAAATGCAAATGATGGACTTTTCTTATAGTATTTGGTCGAAACTTGCATTTTTTTAAAATTCTCAATGATTTGAATAATTTACCAAGGACGATAGGACCTTTGAATTTCTCTGCTGGATACATTGGGATTTGCGACAACAAAAGCTAAAGTATTGATTTCATCATTTTCTCTATTCTGTGCATTATAAGGTTTTTAAAAAGAACCAACTCACACGCTCTGTGATGACGCTCTGCGTATCTCTCCAAATATAAATTTATAGCTGCGTCATCATTTTTATACGTTTCAAAATTGGAAAAACTGCGATTTGTAAAAAATCTGAGTACGCCAATAATTTGTGTGTCTTTCGTCTCTGTACCTCCCACAATTTTTGAGATATGTGGGCTCAAATTTGGAACGCAGGCCAACTTAAATTACATGCATCACTAGCCTACTTTTTCTAGGGTCAGGCCTCTTTTCAGCCCCCCAAACTTTCTTCCGAAATGCCACTGATCTTTTTTAGGACAAGGGTTTAATTCCCTGTTCAATTTAGAACGTTTTTGGTCTCCCTATACCATGGTAACGAAACATTTACCGACATGTTTATATAAACTTTTTTTACTTAAAATCATTGGCTGATTCACCCAGCTGAATAAAGACATATTATAATGAAACGCCCTGTATATCTACCTGTATAAACACAAACCGTATAACGATAATATAAATGTTTCAAACAACGATCCAAAATGAAACCAAACGTTCAATTTATTGGACGCGAAATTATGACAGAAAAATTAAGGCAATTTATCAATCTCACACACCCGAACTTACTATTTCACGTCACGAATTCAACTAAATCCAAGTCCAATTTTCGGTAGATCCTTTTCCTAATATAACACGACTGACTTTTTGTGATATGTCCGAAACTCAAAGAAAGTATTATTTGTTTTTTTCTTTTCACACAAATTACAGTTACTTTCGTTGACAAAATTATTGCACTATTTTTAAAATATGTGATAATTACAAAATATTTTAATTAATCTGTAGAAGAACTTAGCCAAAAAATATTTACTAAAAGGCTATCTCTCTGTTAAAATGGTGTATAAATTTTGTCCAGGGCGATTTTCTAAAAACGTTTAGATATCTAACTAGGAATAAGTTAATACTACCTAAACCTTATTACCTGTCATTGACACCTACAATTCTGACAATTAGTAAATGGAAACATTGTTGAAATAGCATAGTTTCCAATTCATAGTATGTTAAATAGGGACAATAACCACCAAGATCGATTGAATTATTACATTTTCAACTAGGTTGTCATTCTTACTCAAAATAAAGTTGACATTTTTGGAAAATGCGGAACATCTCCTATTTAACTAAACCATCTGTTTTGATCTAAAGGTTCCTCCAAAAAAAAAAAAAAAATGCGTACAATTATATGCACAGATTAAGTCTGTATTTGTGGAACTCAATTTTATACACTAAGCTTCGCTGCGTTTTACATTCATAGAGACTACAACTTTACAACAATATTACAAAAGTTGATGTTTTATATTCTAGGGAAAACAGAAATATGAAAGAATATCTAGATATTTTCTCGCAAAGTTTTACCTTTAAAACGCCTCCACGCGAAACCGGTGCTGCTGCTTTCAACCTTTGACATTTGCAAGTTCGATATTTCGTGTAGGAAGAGCCAACCTTTGACCAATGAGGCTAATATACTTTTTAGATAGAAGATAAAAAATTACAACGATAAGTACAAAGATTATGAACTGTGCGAGATGTTGCATGCTCTTTATTATACGACGGTTACCATACTCCAAGCGAAATGTTTTTTGCTTAATAAGAAAAAACAAAAATGGGAAAATTCATCATGTATTAGAGAATCCGTGATCTTTAATCTAAGATTAATTGTAATA